TTTAATAATTAATTAATTTTTAATATGATATTATTATAATGAAAAAAATATTCGGATAATTAAATGAATTCCAATTAATAAAACAATTAAGGATTTAGATTGTTTTGATTGCGTAATTTCAATTGGATGGAAATGATATACTGAGAAACGTGTCGCAGATACACAATCGAGATTACAGCCTACTTAGGTGTCAAAGCGCATCTAATTATTGCCAATTAAGACGCATCTCTCCGGGGACCCCCACACTTTATTCTTTATGTTTCTGTCATCTTCGTTCCTTTCGCCTGGTGGAATAATTATTTCGTCGGTCCCCGGACCCGACAGAGAGTGGGTGAGAGAGGGTCGAGGGTCCCGAAGTTTTATGTGCCGGAATGCATATAAAACGTGCCAGATAACGAATCTATGAAACTGAAAACGAAAAGACAAAAAAAAAACGAAACCACAACAGCAACAACAGTAATAATAATATAAAAAATGAAGATGAAGGAATGTAAATAAATTAGAACACCAAAGAAGAAGTTATAATAATGACGATAACTACAACAAACTTACAGAAATGAAGAGAGGAAGATAATGAAGCTGAAAATTAAAGTCATAGAAACAACAGATAATTAATAATACAAAAAAATAAGACAAGAAGATAAAGAAATTTAAAGAAACAACAATAATGAATCTATGAAACTGAAGCTAAAAGATGAGATGGAAATATTGGACATTAGCAACAATAATAATGTAAAGAAGATGTACATAGAGGTTGAAATAAACAACAACAAACAGATAAATGTTGACAAAGAGATGAAACATCAACAATAAAGAAAAAAGAAGATGAAATAATGAAAGACGACAACAATAACAAAAATATAAGAAGATGTAGTATTTCGCTATGGCTTGGCGTGGTGTGGACGGGGCAGCCTGTGGCGAGGCTTAATCGTCCTGCCGCAATTTAATCGTGTTAAGATCATCAGCCTGGTACACGTCAACGATGTGGAAGCCTTTAGCCTCCGAGGTATAGAAACCACTATTAGATTATGCATTTGAATGGTCGAAATGATGATACCGATGATACACATCCATCCCGTTCCTTCCCATGCCGATGCCGTTTTCCCATGGCCCGTGACCCCGCGCGCCGAACCGAAAGCTACTTACGAAGATGACGACGATGAAGATGAATACGAAGATGAGGACAACGACGATCGGGATAATTTTATGCATTAGAACCGAGAGCGCGCGTTGATGTTGTTGCGTAATTGTTGGGAATTGTTCTGTGTAATGCGACGAGAATGGTCTGAGGTGACCGGAGGACGGACGGAACGGACGGGCATGCCTCTTAAAAGCTTTTCTCCTTTCCAACATAACATCGTCCACTATACTTAAATATATATACATTTTATTTATTTTCGCTCCGTCCGTTTGTTTGGTAAAATTTATCAGTTTTCAGGGATATTGTATACATAAAATGTGTGCGTTGTTTGTATAATGTGTCCTCGTATCTCAGTTGTGTTGTTTTAATTTGGTTTTCTCTTTTATTCCTGCTTCGTGATTCAACCTGGGTGGGTCGTTATCAATCACCAAACATGATAAGAGATAAAGACCTACCTGAGGACGGGCCTCAAACAGGACCGAAGAACTCCGTCTTCATCTCTCTTCTTCCACTCACTCTCTCTCCTTTCAACTCATCCATTTTTTGGCGTCTTCCTCGACGAGGGGGGAAGAAAACTGTCCCGGTCAGTTTTTCCTTTTTTTTTTCTCTCGGGTGGACTTGTCAATAAACTAATTTATTTGGAGAACTCCGCACAAGGCCTGCCTCTTCGTACACACACACATACACACAATTCCTTTTACGTACGTTCCAACAGAATTCCACCATTTCGCGATCGTTATCATCATCGTCTCCCAGATTCCGCTCCTCCTCCTCCTCCTCCGCCATCTCCGTCGACATCAACATCACCAACGGGTGTCAAGTTACTTCAATTAAAACAATTACCATTCGTCACCAATCATAAAACCTGGAAAGCACCCATCTAATCTGATGCAGCCTTCGCAACTTCTTCAGCTTCCCATGTCACATTACTAAACCACACAAAGGAAACGTCAGCTTTTATTATGTGACATAAATTTGAAGACCAAACTTTACGTTCTTGTTATCACGAGAATCCAACTAATAGAAACTTAACAAAACATCAATAATCACATCAAAATAAAAAGTAATTAATTGTTCACAATGTGTTTTTATCTTTTTTTTTTAATTGTCAAAGCCATATTGGATCCAAACAATTATACTTTAGATAGATTTAATATGTTTGTTGTTTGTAGAGATTGTAAATATTTTGATGGGTTTATATGGAATTGTTTGTGGTCAGGACTACTGTGAGTGTGGTGGATCACAGGTCACAACATAATTATGGGATGCATATGACCCAAGGCCCAGTCCAACCTCTTGCATTGCATTTGACTTAATCTCTTAATAAATTATCTTCTGCTCGTTTTCGCCTCTTTCTACTCCGGCGATGTTATTGTTGTTGCTGAAAAAAAAAAGAATTTTTTGATCAAGGGTTGTGTTGTCGCAAAGACGAAACGAGAAGAGCACGTCGGAAGAAATCCGAGCCTCGTTCCCATAGAGTCCATGAGGTTGGTTGGTGGTGGCATTCCTTCCTCACCACGGCCGAGGTAATTTTCGGAGAGCAGGGCTCGAAATGTACGCGTAAGTATAGGTTGTCAGTAATGTTCGATAATCTCCAATGATCGGTTTTGAAAGATTGTGACTGAGTGGTGGCATTTTATAAATACCCAAATTACAGGTTGCGATGCCCGAGGTTCTCTCTTTTCACACGAGGCCAACCCCCCGCACCGGGTAAGAATCTCGTGTGGAAGAATTGCTGAAAAGATATGAAGCGGGCTAAAGGATAAGAGACGAAACAAAACACTGGGGGAGGAGGTAGGTTATGGTTACGGACAATCCGGGGTTTCATTCATTGATGATCTGATTTAATAAAGGAGTGAAGAAGGAGATGGAGAGAGTGGAAAGAAGAAAAATCAATGGAGGAGATAATGGGTCGAGATAAACGGATTCTTCGTCGTCGTCGGCTCATATTATTACGAAGATGATCCTGGAATTTTAATCGGACCCGTGGTTCCGTTAATTGACACCCGAAGACACAACGTCTCTATCGGCGTCTTGCTCGTAACCCAATTACGTCGCTAATTGACAAGGAATGCCACCCATGATAACAATTAAAAAAAAATTAAAAACTCTGCGCGTTTCGAGCGCATCAATTATTACATCGTTTAGACGTGACTTCCCCACGAGTGGATTACTTAATTACCTTTATTCATTAACAAGATGCACTCACAGCTGAAGAACTTCATTATCAATTAACATTGAAGAGCAATACAGCAATAACGAGTAATCTATTTATACCGTACTACAGTGAATCCGCACTATGTGAGACATTCATATACTTTATAACATTTAGAAAATTCTATTTTTTTTAATATTTTTCATAGAACATATGCAAACCAATTTCAGAATCTTTACATAATAATTATAATTTTTAAGATGTATACTTATTTTGTTTCTTTTTATTACAATTGTATATTTTTAATATGTAGTAATTATATTTGTAAATTGTTCATAAGTATAGGAAATTTAGGAATGAAGCGAAAAAACAACAATAATAATAATACATTGTATTGAAAAATATAATTACATAAACATCAGTTTGCGTGAGTTGATGGAATGAGCATAAGAAAAGTTGCAAAATCAAGAAGATTTACATGTTATATAATATGACAGAAATATCTGTTATTTGCAAATCAGGAAAATTTATTTATTTTCATTTATAAAACATCAAATTTTGATGAAAATTGTTCATAAGTATAGGAAATTTAGGAATGAAGCGAAGAAACAACAATAATAATAATACATTGTATTGAAAAATATAATTACATAAACATCAGTTTGCGTGAGCTGATGGAATGAGTATAAGAAAAGTTGCAAAATCAAGAAGA